ACCATTGCTTGGACTTGTTGAATGTTTCGAGTTGTTAAAGAAGCAAGGTAACCCAACCCACATTGAAGTTTCCAAGGGGTAGGATATTCGCCAAGGTGGAGATTGTTTTATGGGCTCATAAAAAGTCTCGTTGTGGGGTACGAATTATGTGGTTGGGGGTGTGGGGGCGCAGCCCCCCGGTACGGTACAGGGTTGATTTTGTAATTATGTACCAGGGTTTTCTATTATAAATAGAGATGTAACCTAGACCTAAAAGATTGAATAAAACTTCTAGCGCCGCCTAGGCACCGAGGACGTAAGCACATTGCCGAACCTCGTAAAATTCTCGTGTTCTTTCGTTTTCTTTACCCGTTTTCGTCAACAATTGGTATCAGATGTCAGGAGCAAAATTCGGAGTTGCGAAATTCGATGGTCAGGGTAACTTCGGATTATGGCAAACGAGGGTGAAGGATCTATTGGCGCAGCAAGGGATCTTGAAGGCTTTGCGACCTACAAAGCCGGCGTCGAGGATGAGGAAGATTGGGAAGAATTGCAGCAGCGAGCTGCAGGAACCATACGATTATGCTTGGCGGACGAGGTCATGTATCACGTCATGCATCTATCGTCTCCAGACGAAATTTGGAGGAAGTTGGAAAGTCAGTTTATGTCCAAATCCTTAATGACAAAACTGTATCTGAAGCAGCGGCTGTATGGGCTGAAGATGCAGGACGATCACGATTTGGCGCAACACGTGAATGTCTTCAATCAAATCGTTTCTGATCTGGCTCGGCTTGATGTGAAAATTGAGGATGAAGACAGAGCGATGATTATGTTGTGTTCGTTGCCTTCCTCTTACGAACACATGGTGACTACTCTTACATACGGGAAAGAGACTATCAACGTTGAGGAGATTACTGCAGCCTTGTTGGCTCACAACCAGCGGAAGCATAATGCAGGGGAAAGCTCTCAAGCCGATAGCTTATATGTCAAGGGTAATCGAGATCGGGACGGAAGCCAGAGAAGGCAGGGTCCGGGAAGCGGAATTCCAGATCCAAATCCAGGGATAAGAAGACGATTCACTGTTACAAGTGCAAGGAGGCGGGACATATGAAGCGAGACTGTCCGAAGTTGAAAAAGCAGGCGGATGAGAAGCGTGATGGCTCATCCAAGTCTGTGAACGTGGTCGAGGATGATACTTCTGATTGCAGTGAGGGTGATATGCTTTCTATTTCAACGACACAATTGACGGATGCTTGGATTCTTGATTCTAGATGTTCTTATCACATCACGCCAAATAGGGAATGATTTTCGACATACAGGCCGGTTAATTCTGGTTCGGTTTATTTGGGTGATGATCGATGTTGCAATATTGTTGGTATTGGTGATGTCAGAATTAAGATGCACGATGGCTCCGTTCGGACGTTGAGTGGTGTTCGACATATCCCAGACTTGAAGAAGAATTTGATTTCCTTGGGCACTTTGCACAAGAATGGTTTTATCCCTAAGGCTGACGAGGATAGGGAAACCATTCGGATTGTTAAAGGAGCATTGACTGTGATGAAAGGCAAGATGACTGCAGGGAATATCTACAGATTGTTAGGGAGTACCGTTGCAGGTGGAGTTCACTCTGTTGAGTCCTGTGATGATACGACAAAATTGTGGCATATGCGCCTTGCTCATCTTAGTGAACGTGGTATGACAGAATTACACAAGAGAAACTTGTTGCATGGTGTCAAAAGCTGTAAGCTCGATTTTTGCAAGTATTGTGTTCTTGGTAAACAGACTAAAGTCCGTTTCAAGACTGCGAAGCACACAACTCAAGGGATTCTTGATTATGTGCATTCTGATGTATGGGGCCTTCCACGACATCGTCTTTGGGTGGATCTAGGTACTATGTTACTTTTATTGATGATTTTTCACGGAAAGTTTGGGTGTATTTTTTGAAACAGAAATCTGAAGTTTTTGAGAAGTTCAAGCTGTGGAAAGCTGAGGTAGAAAACCAAACAGGACGAAAAATCAAGTGTTTGCGGTCTGACAATGGTACGGAGTACACAGATTCACAGTTCCTACAATTCTGTAAGGAGCATGGGATTCAGAGGCATTTTACAGTGCGCAAGACACCACAACAGAATGGTGTTGCGGAACGAATGAACAGGTCGTTGAATGAAAGAGCCAGATGTTTGAGGTTGAATGCGGGGCTTCCCAAACACTTCTGGGCTGAGGCTGTTAACATGGCGTGTTACCTTATCAACAGATCGCCAAGGGCATCGCTGGCTGGGAAAGTTGCAGAAGAGGTATGGACTGGTCATGATGTTAGTTTTGATAACTTACGGATTTTTGGTTGTCCTGCTTATGTGCATGTACCTGCTGATGAGATCCAAACTTGATGCAAAATCGAAGGAGTGCATTTTTCTGGGTTACAAGAAAGGTGTCAAAGGATTCAAGTTCTGGGATCCAGTTGCGAAGAAAGTTGTGATTAGTAGAGATGTCGTTTTTGATGAACAGTCTATGTTGCAGCAGAAGCAAGACACGACAGTGGTAGATTTCGAGCAGTTTCCAGTTGAGAAACCAGAAACTTCTCAACCGACTTCTGGTGGTTCCACTACGGATGATTTGCATGATTATAGTCTCGCCAGAGACAGGGTGAGACGGACGAATATAAAGCCTCCGAACAGATTGAGTTTTGAAGACTTGGTATCTTTTGCACTTACTGTTAGCAGTGATGATCCAGTTACTTTTCATGATGCCGTTACTAGTCAGGAAAACGACAAGTGGATGGCAGCCATGGTTGAGGAGATGGAGTCTTTGAATCACAATCGCACATGGGAGTTAGTTCCCCTTCCTGAGGGTAAGAAGCCGATTGGTTGCAAATGGGTGTATAAGAAGAAACCAGCAGTAACAGAAAAAGAGGGGAGAAGTTCAAGGCTCGTTTGGTAGCGAAGGGTTTTTCACAGCAGAAAGGAGTTGATTATGATGAAATCTTTTCTCCTGTGGTCAGGCACACTTCAATCCGAGCAGTACTTGCATTGGTGGCTAGTTGGGATTTGCATTTAGAGCAGATGGATGTTAAAACTGCTTTTTTGCATGGTGATTTAGAGGAGCAGATCTACATGCGGCAACCTGAAGGTTTCACTCAACCTGGAAACGAGCATTTAGTTTGCAGATTGAAGAAATCTTTGTACGGGTTAAAACAGTCTCCGAGACAGTGGTATAAACGGTTTGACTCCTATATGATCAAGATTGGCTACAACCGATGTGAGTATGATTGTTGTGTCTATGTTAAGAGCCTTGATGATGGTTCTTTATTTTTCTATTACTGTATGTTGATGATATGTTGATTGCTGCGAAGAACATGGATGATGTTATCGGTTTGAAAACTTTATTGAGTCAGGAATTTGATATGAAAGATTTAGGTGCTGCAAAGAAAATTCTTGGAATGGAAATTTGCAGGGACAGAGACTCAAGGAAACTGCGGCTATCTCAACGGGGTTATGTTGAGAAAATGCTAGAAAGGTTTGCGATGAGCAGCGCGAAACCAGTTAGCACTCCATTGGCGAATCACTTTAAGCTCTCATCAGAACAGTGCCCTAAGACAGATAAGGAAGCTGAAAATATGGCAAAGGTTCCGTATTCTAATGCTGTTGGCTGCTTGATGTATGCGATGGTATGTACTCGTCCTGATTTAGCTCATGCTGTTAGTCAAGTTTGTAAGTACATGTCTAAACCTGGTAAGCAACATTGGGATGCAGTCAAGTGGATCTTTCGGTACTTAAAGGGTACTGTGGGACATGGAATTGTTTTTGGGAGTCAGCGGGATAATCCTTTGGTTGTAGGATATGTGGATTCAGATTATGCAGGTGACTTAGATAATAGAAGATCTACGACAGGGTATGTGTTTACTCTTGGTGGAGGGCCTATTTGCTGGAAGTCTACTGTTCAATCTGTCGTGGCACTATCTACAACTGAAGCTGAATACATGGCAGCGGCTGAAGCTGCAAAAGAAGCTTTATGGCTTACTGGTTTAGTGAAGGAGTTGGGTGTTCAACAAGGTGGAGTTCAGTTGCTTTGTGATAATCAAAGTGCTATTCACTTGGCTAAGAATCAGGTGTATCGTGCTAGAACTAAACATATTGATGTAAGGTTCCACAAGATCAGAGAGTTGGTTGCATCTGGAGAGGTTTTGTTTCAGAAGGTACATACTGATGAGAATGCCGCTGATATGTTCACCAAGCCAGTTACGACAGACAAGTTCAAGCATTGCTTGGACTTGTTGAATGTTTCGAGTTGTTAAAGAAGCAAGGTAACCCAACCCACATTGAAGTTTCCAAGGGGCAGGATATTCGCCAAGGTGGAGATTTGTTATGTATGGCTCATAAAAAGTCTCGTTGTGGGGTTACGAATTATGTGGGTTGGGGGTGTGGGGGCGCAGCCCCGCGGTACGGTACAGGGTTGATTTTGTAATTATGTACCAGGGTTTTCTATTATAAATAGAGATGTAACCTAGACCTAAAAGATCATTGAATAAAACTTCTAGCGCCGCCTAGTCACCGAGGACGTAAGCACATTGCCGAACCTCGTAAAATTCTCGTGTTCTTTCGTTTTCTTTACCCGTTTTCGTCAACAGTTGATTATAAGGGTATTTTTATAGGGTGTTTTAAGATTATAGTTTGATTATGATGCCCTAAATGAATTGGTGTACTTTATGTTTGAATGTCTATCATATTGTTCTTTTCACTTCAGTTCCATTCAACCTTGATGGACTTAAAATAGAGCTATTTTTTTGTTCCTATGCACAATTCTTTTTCATCATTGAGCTTCTGATCAATTTTATCTCTTTCACTCTCTTTTGTTGGGTTCTGTTTGTCAGTATTTGACTCAATTGAAATTTGATTTGACAGGCTCTAGATTATGTACATGGCGCTCAAACTATCCATGCATCTGAGCCAATCCATTGACGCCTAAGGTATTATGATCTATTATTACAAGTTTGTCAATGTTTTGCCTCAGAGCGTGGGTGCTAAATTTCTAAGGTTGAAATGGTGGAAGTTAGCGGAGCATGGAATATATTTTCTGAACTTTTTGGGAAAAATAGGGCTGAAAACACTTTTTGGTTGGACAGTTCATCAACAGAGAAGGTTGGTTTATCACTTCGCAAAATCTCTTTCAAACGGAACATAGAAAAAGATCTAAGTTTAAACGATCTGATTTGCAGAAGCGAAAGACATAGTAGCCTGTTTAGAAGCAAGTCGCTTGAAGCAAACGGTCTATATTTTAGTTCTGGCTAGACATAATATAGTTGTAATAAATAACCAATTTAATTGACTTGTCTTCATAATTTACTTTTTCATAGCTCTATTTTTTGATTGAGTATCCTCTTGATCTTAATTTTTCTCGACATTCAGGGAAGAGCACGGTTTTCATTCATGGGGGGCAAAGGTGGATATCTTTGGAAGCAATTAACTTTCAGATTGTCCGAAGAAAGGTTTGAATAAAATCTATTTTCTGTCATCTTTCAACCAATTAGTCAGTTTCTTTTTGTCTTGAGAAATATTTTTAGGTTCCAAGTTGGTTTATTTACACGATTGATTGCTCAACGGTCGATTTTCATTAGTTGTTTTGAGTATCATATAATAGTTAATAAAAACTTCATTCCATTTGTAGCGATGCAGCTGGTAAACGTGGAGGTCATTTATTGATTGAAGATGCTGAAGGCTCTACTAACAGTAAATTTCTGGAAGAAGGTTTTTTGGAATATTTGAACAAGGTATTTATGGATTTTGATGGATGTATTATTCATTCCTAGTTAGTACATCAGATAGCTTCGATCGAAAATATCAGAATAAGAGAAATTCAAACATACTATACATGACTACATGTTGCTCTCACTTTTTTTCTCACATAAAAGTACTCATACATTTGTGTCCGACACATATCTCGATCTGAACATACCCGTGTTGGAATTCATCCCATCGTATGTTGGTTATCAAATGAAATTCATGTTAATTTTTGGTTGTATGCTCCCAGTGTATACCATCTCTCTCGATGACTGTATAAATATGTTGGTTATGACTCTTCGAATCATACTGAAAATTGTTTTCTGTTTTCGTTCTAATTTATATCATTAAACAATTCGGTTTTATGGTAACTCGCTTTTCTACTCATGTAGCAGGAACTTCTGTCACTCTGTCATGAGGAAAAAGATTTGAAAGGACTGCCATTTGATTTCTATGGTGGATTTATAGGTTATATAGGGTATGTTGTTTGTACAAACGTTTGATTTCTTTCAATTATTTTCCTCCCCTACCGAAACAAAAACAATCTGTTCTTTTAGCTCGATAGCTGCAATCGTATTTTACTTCTAGCTATGGCTTTACTGGCTTTTCCTTCTTGTGTGTCGGATTTCTTATTCCGATGAAACCAACAGTCACTTGGCTCTGAGTGTATTGGACATGAATTTGCTCCTATTGCAGGTATAATCTTAAAGTATAATGTGGTGCAGCATCAAATGCTCACAAATCGACAACTCTAGATGCATGCTTTTTCTTTGTGGATAACCTTATAGTTATCGATCATCATTCCGATGATGTTTATTTGATGTCCTTACACGAAGGAAATACGACTAAGACACAATGGCTGGATGATACCGAAAAGAAGCTTGTCAGCTTGAAAGGTTCTGCCACAAGAAAGTTAGATGAACGGATTTTGAAAGCTGCGGCAAACTCTCCGCATGAAGCAGGATTTCATTCCGAGAAATCCCGAGAGCAATACCTTAGTGACATTGAGAGATGCCTGAAGTACATTAAAGATGGAGAAGGCTATGAGCTCTGCCTCACAAATCAGTTTAGAAAGTTCATTGGGGAAGTAGATCCTTTGAGACTTTATCTTCATCTTAGGGAGAGAAATCCGGCTCCCTATGCTTCATGGCTATATTTTTCAAAGGAAAAATTATGCATATGCTCTTCTTCTCCCGAGAGGTTCTTACGACTAGATAGAAATGGTATACTTGAAGCCAAACCGATTAAGGGGACCGTTGCTCGTGGTGCAACATCAGAAGAAGATGAATGGCTCAAGTTGCAGTTGCAGTACAGGTAATTCCGTTATCTGTATCTGTTGGTATGCGCACGGTTTTACCGGATTTCAAACCCGTTAAACTAATATTAAAAGCATGATGGATTGAGAGCCATAATGTATGCTCATAACATTCTCCTATTTCATTCAAAGTTTAAGTACCAACTCTCTTTCGTCTCTCCGCAGCGAAAAGGATCAGGCTGAAAATTTAATGATTGTCAATCTTCTAAGGAATGACCTGGGTCGTGTTTGTGAACCAGGCACCGTACATGTGCCTCGTCTAATGGAAGTGGAGTCTTATGCAACTGTTCATACTATGGTGAGTACGATCCGGGGAAAAAGCAGTTGAATGTTGGTGCTGTTGATTGCGTCAAGGCAGCGTTTCCGGTGGTTCAATGACAGGGGTTCCGAAGTTGAGATCAATGGAACTTTTAGATTCCATCGAGAGCTGCTCCCGAGGTATATACTCGGGCTCCATTGGATTTTTCGCCTATAACCAAACTTTTTATCTTAATATCGTGATAAGAACAGTCGTCATACACAAAGATGAAGCATCTATAGGTGCAGGAGGGGCGATCGTTGCATTATCTGATCCGGAGACGGAGTATGAGGAAATGGTGTTGAAAACATGTGCTCCGGCCAATGCTGTGAGGAACATTAATGTCACTTAGTGTCGACGGAATCAAATACGAACATTCTTTGATGTTAGTTTTCGTTTCAGATATATACCTTGGAACCTTCAGGAAAATGCAGTAGCTATACAATGTTAGCTTAGATTACCATGTTTCTTTATGCCAGATTTGTTTCTGCCATAGCTAAATCAAAGTTGTTTGTTTCAAACAATGATGTTCTGAATTTTGTACTATAAGTTTATGGCAATACAAATTTATGTATCTGAATCTGATGCTTTGCTGATATGTCTCAGATTGTTGGGTTATATATAAGCTTATCATGTGTCTGTATATATTAACTCAGATTGTTGGGTTATTCCAGCCTTACCAAACATTGGTACAATTTACCCTAAAAAATTGATAATTTACCCTTAAAAAATTGTGGAATATCATTTTTTAGGGTAAATTGTTGGGCTCGTTGAATTTATACGGTTTTTTTTTAAAGGGTTAAACTCAAAGATGCCATATCTTGATTGACTGTACATGTACCAGGATATACATCGGGGGAATGCATCCATTACTGCTAGTAATGTGTGGAGATAGATACAATTATGCAATATATGATAAAACTCACTTTTTGACTTCTGGCTTAGGATTTAAAACGGGTACAATATATGCTATTAATGATTTCTTTCTGCTTTCAAGATTAAGGAAATGCCATTATGTCAATAGCTTATAGGCCATCTCATGCATATGCATTTTATTATATTTTAAAGTTTTCTTTCAATACTTTTGTACGTATTTCTCTTTTCTTTCGATTTTTGATTGATCAGTGACAACATCAATCTTAATATTAGTGGATGACCGTCAACGATTATTATTATTTTTATTTTGTACTATGTCTTTACTTTTCTTTCTTTTTTCTTGAATTTTTTCAATTCTAAATAATAATATTCATCTTTGTGAGATGTTTTTCTATGCTCTTGTGATATATTTTTTCTCTGTTCTTATGGTACGTTCTTATGGTTTCTGTTACATTTTTCGAATACCTCTGCGGTTGAGCACAAAAATCCCCACGATTTTTGTTTTTTATTGGTTTGTCGGTAATCACATATTGTCAGATATTCTCTTTAGTAAAAGATTGTTTGAGGATATAATCAAAATTGTGTAGCAAAACAGTCTGTCAAATTATTTGGTTCGTTCACCACTCTATCATTTCGTAAAACGTCTGGTTCGATAAAGACAATAAATTCTATGAAGGTTATTGAGTTCTTTAGATATTAGACGTCATTTTTAATAGAATATTTTATTTTTCTTTATATCATTAAATTTTAATATTTGTGGGTTATGAATGAGTTTTTTTATGATTATTGTCCTTAATTTTTTAAGTGTATTATAATTTTTATTTTTTGTTATCTTTATTAACAAAACTCAGTTATCATTGTAATTTTTTGTGTGTGTAAAATCATTTTTCTTAATTAAACATGCGGAAGAAAAAGAAAGTTAGGTGAGCATGTTAGTTCTAAAATATAAAAATATAAAATAAATAAGAACACCAAGGATCACAAAAATCCACCAACCAAAACCAACCCACCACCCTCAAAACCCTTTCTTCTTCGACCAAATCCTACATTTTTTATTAGCTCAATCGTTTCTTCATCTCTTTCCAGCACTACCCTTTCTCGGTTTTCAAGTTTTCAACGGTTTCATGGCTTCTTCCATTACACCCAAGCCTTTCCTTGGAGCTACTAAACCCAATTCTTCTCTTTCTTCGGATTTTCAAAGACTCTCCATTTCCTCTCTTCGCATCTCAGTCAAACCCAGAACCCACAAAAATCTTCGTAAGTTTTGTTATTTGATATATGTTAATTGGAAGCAAAACCTCTTGTTTTTATGTTGAGTGTCTTTGCATGATTATTACTTTCTGGGAATTAGATTGTTATTAACTTGAAATTTGTATGTTTTATTTGTAAGTTTTGTGTATTTTATGCATAGGACTAGTGATTAAGGTTTGATTGATCACTGATAGAACTTTGCATCAGTTTAATTCAATGTTAGGTGTTATCTAATGTTGTTTTAGGGAAACTTTATTGTCATCATGCAAGAAAGATATTGAAGGAGTTCTATATGGTATTACAATGTTGCAATCTTATGTAAATCAGCCCACAAGTGTTGACTTTTATGCGATATTTGTGTTGGCATTATAAGTCCGTTTATTCTAGGCGAATGTTTGATATTAGGTTCACATGTTTATGGAAGCTATAACTGTTGTATGTTGATTTGTTTTTGACCTGGGAGTGAACTGTTCAGATCAATGAGATTTTTAAGTCCAGTAAACACAATAGGTTAAAGATAAATGTAGAAATCTATGGTGTTAGGTGCTAGTTTACTCCAATAGAGTTTTTAACATTAGTATTGATGGTCTGTAAAGTACACTGAAATTGTTTTTTTTTTCTGTTTGATCATAAGTATGTTACATGGATGTGGATATGAGTTTCGGGTGTGGGCATGTGTCCGACATGGGTACACACTACATTCCCATGTTTGGATATGTACGGGGCACAAGTACTTTAAGGAGAACGAAGAGTCCAGTTTACATATATAATAATCATTGATTTTTTTGTTTGATCATAAGTGTGTTACATGGACTTGGGTGTGAGTTTCGGGTATGGGCAGGCGCCGACATGGGTACAATCTCTTAAACAGTGTAATTATGTTAGTTTTATAACCTGTGGAATTCTCTGATTGCATCAACTTTTTGTGAATCACTGAAGTTACCAGGAATTCAACTATTGGAATTACTACGTTGAGGGTGTGGTATTTTGATGTGTCGATGAAGCTTAAATTGTATGTGTTAGAAATTAAACAATTTTAGTGTATCTTTGCTGCACCTGTAATGTTCTTCGTAATAGTTTCTCCAAAAAGAATACTGAGGGCAAGTTGAGCTTCTAAAGTCTGACAAATGGTACTTCTTAACAGAGATACAGGCAGTTGGGAGCACATTTGGAAATTATTTCCGTGTCACAACTTTTGGAGAATCTCATGGAGGTGGTGTTGGTTGTATAGTTGATGGATGCCCTCCTAGGATTCCTCTCTCAGAAGCTGATTTGCAAGTTGATCTTGACCGAAGGTACTTGATTTTGGGATTTTGGTGTCCTATTTAATTCTTTTGCTTGCCTTTATATGAAGGTCGGTGTGATTTGTGTTCATTGCATGTTGATCTAGTGGTAGTGCTTGTGAACAGGGTTGGCATATTAATGATGGACACAGTTCTTTTTAGTCATATAAAATTTCACCTCTTCGATGCAAATATCTCTGTTCTTTTGGGATTAATAGTCAAGATATTTTTCAGGAGGCCAGGTCAGAGCCGAATTACTACCCCAAGGAAAGAGACTGACACATGCCGAATATATTCTGGGGTTTCTGAAGGCAGATCTTCTTTTCCCCTGGGTCTTTCGAATTTCTAGATTTATCTTCAGCCATCATTGTTGCTGTTTCACGTTACTGTTCTTTTTTGTGTTTAAATAGAATTTTCATGACATACTGCAGGAGTGACTACTGGAACACCAATCCATGTATTTGTACCAAATACTGATCAGAGAGGACATGTGAGTATTATGTATTTCCAGTCTAAAATGGGAATACTAAAAATGAGGTTGAACAATCATTTGGTTGGTCTTATAACTTAGGATTTAAAACGAGTATAATATATTTTGAGTCCTCTTTTGATATTAATATATTTCGAACCTTTCAAGGGTCAGTTTGTAGTATTAGGGCTGATACTTGTTCTTTTGGTTCATCATAAGAGAGTTGATACTACTGAACAATGCTTAAAAGGAGAGCTCATTAACAAACCAAATGATGCAACTATACAAATAGTGAACGAAACCTGATTATGCAATCAAATGTTGTAACTATATAAACCACATTCATTAGTTAGATAATGCGGAAATGATCATTATGTCCCTGAAATTTTGAAAATTTTCAATTATTTCCTTCAAAAAATTTTAAATTTCGTATTAATATATATTTATATGTATTTATTTATTGAAGAAACGCCATGGCAGAACTTACCGTCAAACTTGTTTTATATAATATATATGACCCTTAAAAAAAATCTCTCGTCGCCCCCACCCCCATATTCGAGTGCCTAGATCTGTCACTGCATATAATATGGCAAACATTTGCTCAGTTTTGACTTCATCATTTGTTCCTATGGAATCTAGAAGGATTCATTAATGATTTCTTTCTCCTTTCAGGATTACAAGGAAATGTCAATAGCTTATAGGCCATCTCATGCAGATGCAACTTATGACATGAAATATGGTGTCAGGGCGGTGCAGGTAGTACCTTTTCATATCAACCCAATATCACAGTCTATTGCATCATTTTTAAGAGATGCTGACTTGTTTGAACTCAACCATTTGAATTGAACTTGTAACTGAAGGGTGGTGGCAGATCATCAGCAAGAGAAACTATCGGAAGAGTTGCCCCTGGAGCTATTGCTAAGAAAATTCTCAAGCAGTTTTCAAGAACTGAGGTATGTGTCATGCTGGTGGGGTTGATCATTTTTATCCTTCAATATTGTCATGCGTGATCATATTTATCTACTCTATTCTTATGATCATGTTTGTACTTGTTACATTAGTTGTGTTTGTTTGGTATGTTTGCACAAAACAATAAATCCATGATTTTACTAACAAGTAAAAGAAATAGAACTGTTATCCTGACATCCATGTTTCGCATCCAAAACATCTGTTTTGTGTCAACTAGATGTTTAGAATCACAACAGCTCATCTTTTACCATGTGTTAGGACCGAATTGGCTGTCTTTTTATCTTTGGAGTTTCTTCTTAATGTTCATCTTGTCTTTCAGGTTCTTGCCTATGTCTCACAGGTTCACCAAGTTTTGCTTCCAGATGGCGCAGTTGACCATGACACTGTAACACTTGACCAGGTCTTGAACTCAACACAATTACTTTAGTCAATTTCATCTGACTTGATTGTACAATTTCTGAATTGCATTTATCCCAAGATATATTATGCATTTTGGTGTACTTTCATTTCTTTTTTTTTTTGATAGAGGATGAGGCCTCGTAAAACCCCCTTTTTTTACCCTCCATGTTATGAAAGTAACATGAAGGGCATTGAAAGGAGGAAAAGAGCGCCTATAATTATATTAAACAGAAGAATAGTACATAGCCAACCCTTACAACAAACAAAACTTCCCAAAAAGCATAAGACTTAAAAACCACTATCAGCTGGACATCGTAGTCACTAATAACATAAGACTGAGAACCAAAATCTGCAGTAACAAAGTGAAGCATACACACCAACTCCCCAAATACTAAGACAGCAAATCAACCTATACCATCTTTAGCTAATCTGTCCGCTTCCCAATTAGCAGTCCTCAAGATAAGCCTTAACGTAATGTCCAACCCTTCCATAGTAGAGACTATCTCCTTCACCAATGATTGGAATAAAGGGGTGCTTAATTCCGGATTTTTGATCCACTTCAGCGCGTTGGAAGAATCTGATTCTAAAATAATCCTCTGATTACGAACCCCACCTGAATCAATAAGCAAACCCAACCCCCTCTTAATCGCCAGAAGTTCTGCCATGGTCTAACTATTTTCAAAAAATGTTGCCAGATTGAGAGCAATATTGTAAGGTGCCCAAATCCCGAATATGCCGAGAAAATGATTGCTGCTATTGATGCTGTACGGACAAGAGGAGATTCTATTGGTGGTGTTGTCACTTGCATAGTGAGGAATGCCCCACGTGTATGTATTCTCTCCTCTCCGATAATCGTGTGTTTACATTGAAATTTAAGCCTCGACCTTGAAATGATGGAAATGCTTTAATTATACCATCAAAAGTCTCCTTGAAGTTTCCATAGAACTGAAAATCTAATTCCTGTTTGTCAGGGGCTTGGTTCACCGGTTTTTGATAAGCTTGAAGCAGAGCTTGCTAAGGCTGTAATGTCTTTACCTGCTACCAAGGGTTTTGAATTTGGAAGTGGATTTGCAGGTTAAGAAATTTCTTATACTTTTGTAGTGCTACTTTTTCACTTGCCTAAATCTCTTTGAATCAAGTTGGTCAATGGTTTGTGTGGTAAATTTTCAGCTTGGACCGGAAGTTTTGTTTATTGTCGTGTAATAAACTCCTTGCAGGTACTTTTCTAACCGGTATCGAACATAATGATGAGTTCTTTACTGATGAACATGGAAGAATAAGAACAAGAACAAATCGCTCTGGTGGGATACAGGTATTTGGATGACTTCATTTTTCTTGAGCTATCATCCCCGACACCAATGTGTGGCACATATCTGAACATGTTATGGGGATATGATATATCAAATACATGGAAAAACATTGAGAAAATTTAAGATATCCATGTTGGACACATACTTGTGTCCAACACTCACACCCAAGTGCAAGTGAATGTGTCTGTTATTCTCCAACTTCTTAATTCTTGGGATAAATACACAACTTCAGCACGAGTATTATGAGATTGTAATGTTGACTTACAGGGTGGAATATCCAATGGGGAAATTATAAATATGAGAGTGGCCTTCAAGCCAACAGCAACAATTAGTGTAAGTTTGATTTTCGTTTGCCATCCTATATGTTTCCTACACTTTAGCTTTTATGATTTGTGTTATATATCTTTATAGCATATAATTACTTTTAATTCTCTAAATTCTGTTTGATTAAGTAAAACAGTAAGTTATGAACTCTCCAAGGTTGTCATGAAATAGTCCTTCAGTTTTTGATGCTCTTCCTGTTAACTACAAGTTTACAATATGTTTTCCGGCTTCATTTTTCTTAGAACTAGTGGTATTCAATTATGGTGTTCAATACATAACCGAACATGGTTATGTACCATGTTTAAAAAGGCGCAATTGAGGCATGCTAAGGCGAGGCGAGGGTGAAGTGCCTAATTAGGTCTAGGCGAGGCGATTTCAATGAAGCGCAGCAAGGCGCCGCCTTTTCAAATTTTTTTGTTCTTCGTCTTTTTTTCAGTGAAGAAAAGAGAAACATGGTAGGGTGATTAGAAAAGAGAGTTTCATGGTAGGCGTGAAATACAAATAAAGATGGGGTGCTTTACCTTATATAATTACTGTTTGTCTTGAAGTTTGAAAGAGAGAGAAACAAAGGGGATGAATAATAAGGGTGTTCAAATTCGGATACTTGGTTTTCGGGTACCCGAAGTTTGAGTACCCGGTCTTCGGGTATTAAATTTTTCGGCTCGTGTCTTGACCTGGAAGTTGCTGGTACCTAGTACCCGGGTACTCGGATTTTGCAGGTACCCGTAATTCTGGTAATCGGGTACCTGTAATTCGGATAATCAGGTACCCGGTTTTTTATTTTTTTAAATTATTAATTTAAAAAATAAAACTTATATTATTAAAAAATATTATATTAATTATTAAACATACAATTATTGGGTGGGTGGTTTTTTTAATTTGATTAGTTTAATTTAATATATAAAATTATTAATAATTAAATATGTAATATTATAATATATAAAAAATAATTATAACCGAATATTCGGGTAACCAGGTACCTGGAAAAATGAAATTTTGTGACCCGGGCCCGACTTAGAAAATGTCGGGTCGGTATTTTTTTTAGAAAATACCCATTTTTTAGTTCGGGTCGGATCAACCAGGTCGGGTATTTTTTACCACCCCTAATGAATAGATGCCATTTTTGGTGTTAAAAAAGACAACCGACTAAGCAGACAAAATGAGAGAGAGACATGCATGCACTAATTGAGAATCGGGGGAGGAAAAGATAGGTTTCAGTGAATTTTGTTGCATAGTGATGGGTTCTTGAGCAGCACGTTTAGCATATGGTGAAATTTGAATCCATGAGAAGAAAGAAAAGCTTGGAAACACAATTTAAAAATACGAAAATGGAGGATTAGGGTGGATTTGGAGAAGTGGGGTTTAGGGTGTAGGTAGGCCTGTAAACGAACCGACTGCACACGAACGGAGGTATGTTCATGTTCGTTCATTTAATAATAAACGAGCATAAACAAACAATTTTTTTTTGTTCATGTTCGTTTATTAAGAAATATAACTTGTTCATGTTCGTTTATTTAATAAATAAACGAACATAAACAAACACAAACATAAACGAACACGAACATAAATGAACACGAACATAAACGAACATGAACGTTGGAGGCCCTACCTAGGGGTGTAAACGAGCTGAGTCGAGCTCGAGTATTGCTGAGCTCAACTCGAACTCGAAAACTTTCAAAGTCTCGAATCGAAAACTCGCGAGCTTAAAATTATCCAGCTCGACTTGAACTCGAAATATAATATTGAAACTCGACTCGAACTCGAAAAGGCTCGAACTCAAAAAAAATTTAAGAGCTCGATTAAAACTCGAGACTCGAGCTCGATTAAAGCTCGATTCTGAGCTCGATTCAAGCTCGACATTGCTCCAAGCGCAAAGATGCTTAAACCTATTCTCCCCCATCTTCTTTTATATAAGTTACCAACCCGAGCTGCTTGTTTGCTACTGATGTGGGATTGTATAACGTTCCTTCACTTTCTTTCTTCCTCTCTCCTTCAACAACAGTCGAGATGAACACAGATTGTGTTTCATGTGATTGCCGACCTTAATCCTTGGGGATCAAACAAACATGTCCTTAGCACGAAGCTGAAAATTGGGAGATGAGAGAAGTAGGTTGGTTTATTGTTCACACCAACTCATACATCAAAAACCATTCTTTCTCTGCTGGCTAATTTCCATATCCGGATGGCGCACAAAATTTGTTTGATGAAACGCGTTAAAGAACTTCTCAACCTATGGAATAAGGCCTCACCATTATTGGGTTCTTGATTCAAAGTAAGCTGACTTGAGTTGCTGGTTGATCACTATTTACTTGTAAATTCGAATACTCCATTATATATGAAAGAAAAGAAGATTATTTGAGTAGAAGAAACAGTGCTTAATACTTAACATCCCTTCCGGAATCTATCACCTTTGGACTTGGTTTCGAAAGCAACCGGTTTCTGGGACTCCTCTTTGCTCATCGGATAACCAACTGGTGGCGCAGTCACATAGGGTTCCGACGCAGTGGATGTTGACAGTGCTGGGTATGCAGCTTATGGATCGTTCAAAAAGAACTAAACCATATTAATATTGTTGGGTTTTCCAAATAAAATTGGGTTAATTATGGAGTTGGTCATCAGAATATCAGATTAATTAATATTTTTAAGATACTTACAAATTGGTCACCAAAATTGATTTAAGAAGATTGGGTTAAACATAAATGAATGAACATAAACGAACATAACCGAGCGTTCACGAACGTAAATGAACGAACGAGACCTATGTTCATGTTCGTTCATTTAGTTAAACGAACACAAAATCTTGTTCATGTTCGTTCATTTAATAAATAAACGCATATAAACGAACTTCCCGCCGCATAGTTCATGAACGGTTCGCTGAACGTTCAGTTCATTTACAGGCTTAGGTGTAGGTGGTGTTATCGTGTTAACAAGAAGGAAGATATGTTTGTTGAGAGGTGTGAGGTGGAGGGACAAGAAGGAGACGAGTAAGAAGTTGGTGCCAACTCATTATTAGACTTTTATTTATTGTTTCAGTTTCTTATGTGGAATTGTGGACAAAGGAAAGGGGTGTTTGGGTTCTCAAGGTTCAATGGTGGATGGAACAAAAGTGATTATTACATAAAATGCTGATAATTAACACTTTTTGTCAAAACTGTAATTTTCTCAATATATTGACCTGCTGTTTGTAGGAAAAAATACAGAATTTAATTATACATTGCTGCCTTGTCTTAGGAAACTCTCAAGCTAGGTAAGTAATTGATTCTAGGAGTAATTATAATTCCTTAAAGTTAGGGACTCCAACTAAAAGAGTATATTTACAAGGGTCCTACATAATCTTCTTAAATTAGGAATCTAATCTCTGACACTCCCCCTCAAGCTAGGGCATGGATGTCTTCCATCCTCGGCTTGTCTATCAACTTCTGAAAATACTTACCAGGAAGGCCGGTAAGTATATCTGCAACTGAATTTTCAGTGGTCACATAGGGAGTACAAATCAAGCCACTAACAAGTTTTTCCTTTATAAAATGTCTATCCACTTCAACATGTTTTGTTCTGTATGTTGTACTGGATTATGAGCAATATTAATTGTTGACTTGTTATCACAATATAGCTTCATTGATCCATCTCATTTGACCTTCAAATTTTCTAAAATGATCTTCAACCATAATAACTCACAAATTCCCAAAGCCATAGCTCGAAACTTAGCTTATGCACTTGATCTAGCCATAACGTTTTGCTCCTCCAAGTAACCAAATTTCCTCCAAAGAAAGTACAATACCCAAAGGTTGATCTTCTATCAACTATGGATCCAACATAGTCTGCATCAGTGTAAGCTTTCAGGGTCAAATTTCTCTCTCTTTTAAATAGAATTCCTTTTCTTGGTGTCCCCTTCAAATAATGTAAAATTTGAGTCATAGCCTTTAGATTTGATTCCTTAGGATTGTGCATGAATTGGCTCACAACTCCAACAACATATGCTATGTCTGGTCTAGCATGTGACAAATAAATGAGCCTTCCCACAATTCTCTGAAACAAACTTTTATCAACTGTTGCATCATCATCTTTTGAATCTTTAAGCTTATGGTTGACCTCTATTGGTGTTTCTGCTGGTTTACACCCTAGCTTTCTAGTCTCCTTTAACAAGTCCAGAGTGTACTTTTGTTGAGATATAAAAAAAATTTGGTGCGAGTGTGCTACTTCAATTCCAAGAAAATACTTCAATCTTCCAAGTTCCTTTAACTTCAAACCCCCTTATCAGACACTTCTTCAAACTGCTAATTCCTTCAATATCATTTCTTGTGACAATTATGTCATCTACATACACCAAGAGTGCAGTCACTCCCCCTGAAGAAGAGAGCTTCAAAAATAAAATATGGTCACCTTAGCTCTGTTTAAATCTGTCTCAACATCACTTTAGCAAACCTTCCAAAACATGCTCTAGGGGACTATTTCAGTCCATATAGGGGACTGCTTCAGTCCATATAAAGCCTTTTTTAACTTGCAAACTTTCTGCCCAGTACTTGGTTCAAATCCAGATGGTATATCCATGTACACTTCTTTTTCAAGATCTCCATGCAAGAAGTCATTCTTGATGTCAAACTGCTGCAAATTCCATCCTTGAGTAGCTGCCAAAGAAATTAGAATTCTTACTGTATTCATCTTTGCAACAGGAGCAAAGGTTTCAAGGTAATCTCTCCCATAGGTTCGAGAATATCCCTCTGCCACCAACTTTGCTTTATACCTCTCTAAGGAGCCATCTGACTTATACTTAACTGTGAACACCCACTGTGTTTTAAAAGGCGCGAGGCGCTCCAAGGCGATTAGCTACCCGAGAGCCTCAATTTTTTAGGCGCTTTGAGGCGAGGGATTCACGTATGCGAGGCGTTTAATTTTACAAAACATTTGTAAATATTTTATAACCATACCTCAAACACAAAACAATTTAGTAATTAACTTAATAAGCAAAAACACCAAGCAGCATGTCATATTGTATCTCAAAAAGACAAATAAAAAACATCATCAATAATCAAAATGCCTAAAACTCATCTTCATCATCATCGTCATCAACATCAATCCCAAGAACCTCATCTCCCCATCATCTTCGGAAAGTCCAATATCTTGTTTTATCTCTTCATCGTCTTCATCAATCAAATTTAGTCCAGTAGAGGGCCTTCTATGAGTGGAGGTTTGGGTAACACCCTTTCCTCTCTCTTGATGAACTTGATGTAGATGTTCTTCTAGTGGAATAAGTAGCTTGAGAATCCCCGAAAGCTTTATCAACAGCAGACCATGTTAAATCATCTCCATCAAAGACAAAGTCGTCCTCCTCACCATCTTCATCGTCATATGGCCCATCAACCACTCGTTGCTTTCATCTATTTCCTTCAAAAGAATAGGATTTGTGGTGTCCTTTCTTTGATATCTCCGTCGCAAAGCACGATTTGAACTTTCTTTTTTTAATTTTAATTTATTTTATTTTTCATTAATATTATTATTATTATTCATCTTTTTTTAATTTTTGTAAACACTTAATTTTCGTCTGAAAATTATTTTTATTTTTATATTATTATTAGTATTAGTATAATCTATTATCACTACTTATTAGTTGTCGGCCCCATTTTTTATTTGGTACGAAGGACAAAACGACTACGTTTTGTTTATCATCTTAGAAATTCAATCTCATGGGTATCAAGTTGCAGCAACGCCTGAAGTTCATTTGGTGGTTCCTCAAACCAGTGCGTCCCTTCACTTCTCTTGAAAGCTAGGTTAGCCATTCAATCAGTACCTTCGCAAAGCCCAATCTGAAATGGGTCATTGTACGTGAATCGCTAAAAGCATCGCCTCGTCGTCGCCTCCGACGACTGAATCGCCGCCTCATGTACTCGCCGCCGCCTTGGTGGTCGGAGGCTTTCTTCTAAACGCCTCGCCTAGCGCCTCAAGCGCGCTTTTTAAAACACAGAACACCCATCTACATCCCGTTGTCTTCTTCCCTTCTGGCAACTCAACTAAGTCCCAGGTTTTATTCTTTTCTAGTGCTTCTATTTCATCTTTCATAGCCTTTTTCCAGTTCTCATTCTCTAATGCCTCGAAAATAGTCTTAGGAATGGTAATGGTGTTTAGGCTGGTAAGAAAAGCTCTATGACTAAAAGATAGGTTTTTGTAAGTCATAAACAAGTAGGAAGGATGTTTAGTGGGACATGCTCTTTTTTTTTCTAATAGCAATGGGAAATTCATAATTAGAATTAGACATATTATTGCCAGTGTTTGATTGGGAAGAGTTTCAGAGTGTACCTCAGATTGTAAAGGAACAGGGGAAGGGATGATTGAATCTGCATAGGTGCCTTCTTCATTGAATAAACCAATGGAGGAAGAATAATGTCCTTCTGTGGTGGTGGTGTATTGGGTTTTGGTTGTGGAGAATTTGAAAGAGAATTTGGAGCAATAGCAGGTTAAGCAGACTGTGTGTGTTGTATTTTGTCAGTGTGTGTAGGTGTAGGGAGATCAATGAGGGGCTGAAGAAGGGAAAAATCAACATCCTTATCTTCCTTGAATGTTATCTCCCCTGAAGATAAGAAACAGTAAAATAACTCTCCTTTTCAACAAAGGTGACATCAGTAGAGGTGTAGTATTTTCTTTTAGGTTGGTGATAGCATTTGTAGTCTTTTTTTAGTAGAAGAGTAGCCAATAAATATGTACTCTAGTGCCCTTGGATCAAGTTTACCCCTTCTATGAGAGTGGATATGAACAAAAGCAACACAACCAAATATTCTAGGTTTTAAGTTAACAGATGGGTTGAAATTTGGATAGAATTTTGTGATAACTTGGAGAGGACTTTGAGATTCACGGACTTTAGTGAGTAGTATATTTATCATGTAGGTGGCAATTAACACAAGTTTTCCTAGTAACGTTTAGGGACTTTGTTTTGAAATAGGAGAGCTCACTCTCCACCAAACGCTCCATTCCCCTCTTTTTCTCTCCATTCTACACATGTTTTTGTCTTTACACAATATGAACATCTCATCATCTTCTTCTTTGCTTCTACTCTTCTCTTTCCCTTCGCTACACGATTTTTCTGTGGGGCGCTGACACGAGATGATTCATGGATGATACCCTTTTCTAGAAAGTAAGGAGATAGGACTAGGTTAATGTAGTCTTTGGCATTGTCTGATATGATTCTTTTAATTTCAGCCCCAAATTGGGTTTTAATCATGGTGCAGAAAGTTTTAAAAGTAGAGATAACGTATGACTTTTGTTTTAGAAGAAAGATCCAAGTAACCCGAGTACAATATCTGTGAATGACACAAACCATCTAGCCCATGTTATATTAGGACTAGTGGAAGAACCCCAAACATCACTATGAATAAGAGTAAATGGATTGGTAGATTTTTTATTACTTGTAGGGAAAGAGGAACGTTTGTGTTTTGCAAGTTCACACACTTAACAATGAAATTCTTTAGAACTTAAGGAATTAAACAAAGAGGGAAACATAGTCTTTAGAACTTTGAAAGGTGGATGACCAAGGCGAAAATGATATAGCCAAATTTGGTCTTTATTTGCTGTAGATTCAGATAAAAGAGATAGAGGTTGGGTATCCAAGATTCTAACTGGTCCACTGGGTTCTTCAAGGTAGTATAGACCGTTTACTTCCCTAGCACGCCCAATCATCCTCTTCGTTTCTTGCTCCCAAAAAATACATTGTTCAGGATAAAACAAAACATTGCAATTAGTAACTTTGATAAGTTTCTAGATGGATATAAGACTGGTAAACAATTTTGGTACATGAACATTTTTAAGTATAAGGGTTTCACTTATGGAAATATCGCTTTGACCAGCAGCTGTTATGATAGTGCCATCAACAACTTTGATTTTCTTACTGCTAGGACAAGGTATGTAGGTAAGAAATTTGAGTGAGGAATTGGTCATATGGTCTGTGGCTCTTGAGTCAATTACCCAGGAATTTTGGGTAGGTATGTGGGTGGGATAGTTTCGAGACATTAGAATCTTGAGAAAAGGAAGAGGATATACCTGAGAAAACCAAATTACATGTACCTGTAGAGTAAGATTTCTCCAAGGATTCCAGTAGACTCTTTCATTTTTCAACTTCTTCTCTGTTGTACTCAACATATTCAGCCTCCTTAACAATTTGCTTAGTTGTATAAGCTCTTCTTTGTCCTCTTGATGAACCCTCTTTCTCGATAAAATTTTTGCTTGCCGACCGAGGCTTTCCATGTAACCTCCAGCATTTGTCTTTAGTGTGGCGGGGCTTCTTGCAGTAAGTACGTCATAAGGAGTCTTTGTTAACTGTTCTTGTTGCTTCTGGTTTTCCTTTAAAAGTCTGTTGTTCCAAGCGTTTTGATTCCTCAGTTACAACCCTAGTGAACTCTCTATTTGGCTATTTTCAACTACCACCACTCTTCTTCCTTCCTCAGCTCGAATGATAGCAATGGTCTCATTTAGTGAAGGCAGATCTTCTTTTCCTAAGATCTGGACTCTAACTGCATCAAATTCAATGTTCAGTCCAGCAAGAAAATCATAAATTCTTTCTTCCTCAACAAACCTGTTTAGGATTGCAACATCTTCGCTGCATTGCATTTGAATACATTGATAATGATCCATCTCCTGCCACAAGTTTTGCAGCAGATTAGAATATTATGTAATTGACTTGCTTCCCTGTTTAGTAGACGAAATCTTCCCTGTTTAGAATATATCTGGGCAGCATCTCGAACCTTCGAATAGGTCTGTTTCACAACCTCCCATATCTCCTAGGCTGTCATAAGAAACATACAGGTGTCACTTATCTCAAGGATCATTGAATTCCACAGCCATCACATAACTAGTGAGTCTTGTTCATCCCACGAATCAAATCTAGGATCCCCTTCCCTAGGTCCAGTTCCAAGGAGACGACTTAACTTGCCTCTTCTCTTTAGGATCGTGCGAACAAGCTGAGACCATTTGTGGTAGTTCTTTCCAGTCAACCTATAAGCAGTCTGTATATTTTGTAAGTCACCTAGAGTAAGAATAACTCCCATCACTCACATTGACTCGTTGGACTGTCTCGGTACTGCTAGTATCGACCATTTCAACCGCGGTTTTTGTTGGAATAACAGTACACACTTAAGGAAAGGATCAAATAAAGAGAAAGGGTTGCTAAACCGAGATTAACAAGACCAAGAAAATACCATGTCAAAACTGGTAAACTTCTCAATATATTGATCTGCTGTTTGTAGGAAAAAATACAGAATTTAAATATACACACTGCTGCCTTATCTTAGGAAACTGCTAAGCTAGGTAAGTAATTGATTCTAGGAGTAATACTAATTCCTTCAAGTTAGGGACTCTTAACTAGTAGAGTATATTTAGAAGGATCCTACATAATCATCCTAAATTAGGAAGCTAATCTCTGACACTTTTTGGTGTTTCTATTGTATGAACTGTTCTTTTTGTTTGATTATACAACTGGAAAAAACTTGTATATCATTTATTTTCAAAAAGTGTGCCTTGGCTATAAAATCCCTATTGCCTTAATGAGCCTTGTGCCCTTTTTTAAGGTTATATAGGGATGTCACACTCTACATGCATAGAGAAAACTTGTAAAAGATTGAACATACTGTGTCCGATGCATACCTACACTCGAGTTTGAGTGACGTAGCTGTTACCAATGCTGTTTTGGGTTCTTAATCATGTTGAAATTGTTGTTTTTCTGATAATTTTTGCAGAAGAAGCAGCACACGGTGAATCGAGAGAAACAAGAGATAGAACTACTAGCCCGTGGTCGTCATGATCCTTGTGTTGTCCCTCGAGGTATTTTGTTGGACTATAGTTTATGCTTTGCTTCTTTCTCATCTTTCCTAGATTATACAGTTTCCTTTTGCAACTGCCATGATCCCAATGCAACTAGATTCCTTGACTTGCAAACAATATCCCACTAATAGCTAGAATTTTAATCTCTGGTTGTTGATTCGGGTGGTGCAGCGGTTCCGATGGTTGAAGCCATGGTAGCCTTGGTGCTTGTGGACCAACTAATGGCACAACATGCACAATGTAACCTTTTCCCCATTAACCCGGAGTTACAAGAACCGTTGAGCTTGAATTTCCCGAACTTAAAACCGGCTAATCTATAGAATGGTTATGGAACCAGTAACACCCCCTTGCTTTCACCAACTCTTGAGTTTTCTTTCTTGAATACCAAGTGTTAAATACTCCATTTTGCATGAGAATGTAGTAGTTTTAAGGTTTTTTACGAAAATCCCAGATGTGCATTGCTTGCCGTACTTTATTGTTTGTGTTTTCTCTGTAATAATAATTCCATGATAAATGCAGTATTCAAGAGCTTGATTTATTTCTCCCTTGGCTTGTAAGCAAATTACTTGACATTAATAAATGATTGTTGAAAGAATTATGAAAATATAAAGAAAATGCTTAAATTATATGAGAATTTGAAATTTTCTAAAATGCGACTGCTACGGGCTCTCTTTTTGTCTCTCGATCTGTACCTGTGTATGATAAAACAATAATAACATAACAAGATACATGAATAGTTTAAATATAAATGTAGATATTATAAACATTTATATATTATGTGTTCGTCAATGTGGTTGGAGGTTTGATCTTTATGAGAATAGAACATATTTCATAGTCAGTCATTTATTTCTTCGAACAGTATTTATGTTTAGAAAAATATTAATCACCACTGTTACCGGTAATGGATATCCTAATTTGGATTAAAAGTAGGATTATAAAAAGAAAAAAATATGTATTACAGAACCTTTGAGATCAATTTAATATTGGTGATTAAATTGACAATTCTAAGAAGAATCAGGTGTTTATAGTGTCTTTTACACCTTTGGTACAGGTGATAATTAAATATTGGGGTAAATTATGTTGATAGTACCCTATGTTTTTGGTTTGACCGACTTTGGTAAGAGGAAAAAAAGGGAAAATGGTCACTAACGCCATCGGTCCGTCCGATTTAAGTACCTAACGTTATCGGTCCGTCCAATTTCAATCCCGGAAGTTATCAGTCTATTCGATTTTAGTCCCTCAGTCATGTTGGTGACTTCAACAAAAGGGACTTAAAATAAAAGGGGGTCAAACAAAAATAATAGCACATGGACTTAAACCGGACTGACCGATAATGTAAGGTATCATCTCCCCTTAATATTTTTTTTATGACCAAAGTCGGTCAGACCAATAACAAAAGGGACTATCGGCATAATTTACTCTTAAATATTTTCATTTTCTTTACCTTTACTTCCCTTTGAAAGCCCTTTCTGAAAAGGTGTTATAAGTCGAGAAAGAAAACAATATTTGATAGGAAGAAAGGCAAATATAAATATATACTTTCTTCAAATACATGTGTGCTTTAGTATATCATTTTTCTTGTGTGAATATAATTTTATTTAGGTTTATTTTAAGAATAGATGTTTGAAGTATATCATTCTGTATATAACTATTTAAAATATTGTTAGTTAAAATTTATAGTATGTGATCAATTATTAATCGGATGATAAATTCGATTCAAAATTTTAATAATCGAATGATAAATTCGATTCAAACTTTTAATGAAAAGTTAGAAAGGAGGGGTAGGCATCTTCACTTGCAAAAGGTGTGAAGATGCCATATATGCTACTTTCATCCTCACTTTGGAGGACACTAAACTTTTATATGAAAGAAAAAAAAAATGCATAACATTTTAAGATTTTTATCAATCTAAGGTTTTGATTTGATTCGATTTAATTTTAATACTTCGATTAGATTAAATCAGAAACACAGGGATTATAAATCCAAAGACTAACCTAAGTTCAACAAAAATTTAATTAAAATCGTATAATATCAAATTAAATCGTACAAATTGATATGATATTTATCATTAAAATTTCCATTAAATGGCCAACTTTTTTAGATTTCTATAAACTGATAAGCTTTTATAAAAATTTCATAAAAAATTAGAAATCAATTTCACCAGACTTATCAAGTTCATGTGTCATTTTATTTTTAAGCCTATAAAATAAAATAAAATTGACAATCTTTTGGGATTGCTTGGAGAGGTGGGCATTATTTAGGAACATTTAAGTAATCAAAAGGAAAGCATCCTAAAAATTAGATAATTAATTATGCAGTTTACTATTAACATTGTTAGGGTTTATAGTTAACGTGACTGAAATAAATAATTTTTAAAGCTAAATGATCGTCTCAATAATTTACTCAAATCATGATAAATCATGTTCGGTACAAATTCTCGGGAAAATGTTCCTTCTTTTCTAGGGGGTGGATTTCAGGTTAGGTTGCTTGAAAGCAACAGTGGGAGCAACCCGACAGCTCCGCTTCTGATGTTCTAGCACGAGTTGAGCGGCGAAGCAATCGAGCTTCTCAAAATTGGTTTGGTCGGCCAACGTTTTTCCGCCGAACAACACCGATTCGACGTTCTTCTGCTTCAGCATCTCTTCGGCGATGCGCGTCAGCATCTTTACATTGCTGGGGCTGGGGTCTGCATCTACGTTTGCTCCACATCGCCCTAAGCTGCTCCCATTTGCCTGTCTCAACACAAATTTCATTGTAACAGAAAACATAGGTACCGAATATTAGAGTTAATTACACTGCACATCTCTAAATTAATCCTAAATCTTTTTGAAAATTATAATTTCATCCATAAACTATAACTCTCATTCTAAACTGATTCTCAAACTTCTGAATGTTCCAAATTCATCCTCAAATTATGACCCTCATTCTATGTTGTTCTCTAAACTTTTAAATGTTTCAATTTTATCCCTAAACTTTTGAATGATTTTGGGGATGTTATTGTTACCTATTTGGAGTGAGGTTAACAATTTGAGAATGAATTTGAAATGCTGAAAAGTTTGGGGATCAATTTAAAATAAGAGTCATAATTTAAGAATGAAATTAAAATATTAAAAAAACTTAGAGACCAATTTAGGATAAAGGTTATAAAATATTATCACACTATATAAAAGCTTAAAAGTTAATTTAACATTGTTTTCGAAAACTACAATGAAAAATACTATGAGAAAGTGTTTGTTTTTATAAGAAAAATTGATTTAATACTTAAGTTGAATAATCAATTAATAATATCATTATAAATAAAAAATTTAAATTTACAAAACATAAAACAAACACATAACCAATGAATATTAAAACTGTAATTTTAGCTCTAAAAGCACACTTCAAATGCAACGGTTGAAATAGCTTTTACATCTATGTTAAAAAGTGATTTTCAAACTTTTTTCTCTCAAAAAGTTATTTGTTTAGTATTGTTTATGACTCCAAAAGTACCCCGAAAATAATTTTTTTATTAATCTAAGATAAGTACAATATAATATATGTTGAAAGATAACAATTGATCTTTTGACATTGAACGCTAATACTCCTAACGTTAAATTGATCTGATTAAACTAATTATAAAAGGCAATAGCAGAGACGGTGACATGAATAAGAAATGGTATATTTTTCAGCTTTACTCAAATGATGTGTCCCCACACACTTAACCAAGCTTTTACTTCTAACAAACAATGCGACAAAAATCAATTGGAAGTGTAGGTAAAACATTCCCATAGGACTCAATAACTCAAAGGAAGCAAAATAGGAAGAATTTTTTTAGAGCTTTCTTTTACACAGATTCAATGATGCTTGTAAGTGTCCCTTTCTCAAACATGTGTCAAAGCAAAGAGGCACGCAACTTTGAAACAATTCTACATCTCAATAATAGTCAGGATTGGCAACTTAAATAAAATTCAAGGAATTTTGACCTGATCTTATAAAGTTGAAGTTTTTGTTTAAAGAATCTGGGTTTGAATCAGGTTTTATAAAAGATGAAAATAAATACAAGTTTAGAATGAAAAAACAAAAACCAATATGACACATAATAATAGTATAATTTTCTCTCTATATATTTTTTTTCATTTTGGTCCCTATTTTTATATGTATCTGTGTCTCGGGTATGATCGGATGCGGGATTTTACCCCAAAATTCAAATCAATTTTCAGGTCAGATGGGACCTCCCTAATCTAAGTTGGGTCAAGTTCAATTGGAGGAGGTATGCTCCTCGAATCGAGTTGAGTTGGTCGAAAATTAGATCCGTTAACATCTAGATATATTTCATAGAATTTCGATTATGATAACAATAGAGATGAACAAATTATTTAAATATGACGAGTTTTGATTCAACTCTATCCTATATAATCAATTTTTTTATAAAAAAAAATCGGATTTAAATATGATCAAATCAAATCTCATAAAAGATTAAATCAAATAAGATCAAAATCAATTTTAAAGTGAAAAACTCTCAACCGGACATGAGATAGTAGTGTAATTCCGCTCTAGACATATGGATAATTATTATAATGCCGTTACCTATACATTTTTTGAACTATTCATTTATCTTAAAAATAAAAAAAATATTTATATTATGGCGGTTGAAATTTTACCTCAAAATTTGAGTCAAATTCAGATGGAATGAAAATCACCAAACATCATGTCGAGTTCGGATAAAACCTTTCAGTTTTCAAGTCGTGTTCAAGGAGAACGAAAAATTGATCTTACTTCGTATAAGAAAATGTGTGATTAAAAATATTTAAGGGTGGGAAATAGTTTGAATAGTCTAAATATTGTATAAAGTTTAGAGATTTTAGGCAAAAATATATTACCTGAATTCTTACGTAATTACTGCTTCTGCATTGTCCGAAAGCCATGGCAACGGCTTGGTCCACCGACTCGGCCGAACCGTCTCCGGATATTCGAGCCAGCGGTTGAGCCCAATCCTTAACCCTCCAATTCTTGACTTCTTCATATTCGTAGCTTATCTCGAGTAATGAACCGGTTCCTAGTGACAACACCAACAAATCCTCCACCCCTCTGACGAAAGGGAACTCCTGTTTATTATGCAGCACGTGTGTAATTGCGGCGGCCGTCGGATTACTCATCGCCAAGCCGCCGTCGATCGCCATGCAATTGGTTTGACCATCTACAGACTGCATCATAACCGGTTTGAATATACCCGGTTCAGCCGAGGTGGCCCGACAGACATCTGATAACAGGAAGTCGAAACCGTCCGTCTCCAAGGCGTCCGCCCTCGAGAACAGAAACGGCGCCGAACTGGAAAGATCGTAACATGGAATCAAAACTGGTTTCAGTGTATCCTTCAACGTCAAACGCCTTCCGTCGGCCGCCTTGAACGCATCCTTCACCACTTTTTCCATACCGGTTGAACCCGATCCGGTCGAACTGCTTTTCAAAAATTTCTTCAAAATACCGTTTTGTTTACTCTTCCCGGACCAATATATCCGTCTCCCATTCTCGACAAGGAACCGCCATGTCTCCTCGGCGGTAAAGATCGGGCGACTTCCATCTCTAGTGGCGAAAAGCATGGCGGTGAAGATACCACCGACTCCGGAACCGGCGGCAACGTCGAAATAATCGGCTATTCGAGCGTTTGGATTGCCCGTCTTTGATTTCAACGCGTGTTCGAGATAAGCCAAAGCTTTCCCGCTAAGAATCCCTCGCATGCCGCCGGTATCGATGCTCAAGATACAGATTTTACCTCTCTGGTTCTTGATGGCCGACGACGGATTCTCATCGCCCGAATGACCCAACGGCGATGGTTCAGGCGCTGGCGACACGGGTTTCGGAATCCACAGCTTCTGATGATCATCGTACCCGAACAAAAACTTACTTTCAAGAATCGAAAATATCTCGTAACTCAATTTATCTGTGTCGATGCTGGGTTCTTGCATCTCCAATGAAGCAGTCGACGACATTTATCAAAACCCCAAACAAAAAATAACCGAAAAATCTCTTCTTTCTATGAACTCAAAGTATTGTGCTCACTCCAATCTGTTGTTTGTTTCTCAAATGAAAAATTCGTCTGCGCAGATGAAAATTTTGGTGAGTTCAGCTTCAAAACAACGAATTAAACAAAATTAGTATAAAACAACAACAGAATCAAAGCGAGTATCACCTTCTTTGAAAAGAAGGTTAAATCGACGTTTCCCAGATTTTCTATTTCGTGAAGTGGTCATCAAAGAGAACAAAAAAGGTATTGAAAATGAAAGCCAAAACCACAGATGAAGACAAGGAAAAGAACCCAGAAACGAGAAAGAGGAGTAAGCAAAGGCAAGAACAACAGAAGCAGTTTGCTTTCGGAGAAAGTCTGTTTATTTTAGTTTTATAAATAAATAAAATAAAACCCCACAGAAAACCCCATTTTCCATTTTGATTTATTTTAATATAAACGTTAATTTACCATTTCAAGGCTAACCAACGGTTGTGATCGTTTGCTGGTTTTGATCGGACGATCAAAGATATTTCAATGCCATTGGATCCGTGATCAACGGTCAAATTATGTGAAAAAGATTAGGTCAAATTTGGTTCTATCACTTCAGTTAATTTTTTTGGATGTACTACAAGTCTACAATATATTAATATAATTTGTCTTTTTTAAGGGGTAATAAAAATAATTGATTAAATTATGTTTAAAAAATATTTTAGTGTTTAAAATATTTTCGTTAGAAATAATTGTCTAATGTTTTTAACGTTACAATTCTTGAACATTAACTATCGGTTAAAAATCTTCGTTAAGTGATAACTGTCATGTTCTAGTAATTTTTAAAATTTATTTAAAAATTTAAAAAATAAAAAATATTTTTTATTAAAAATAAATAAATAAATATATATATATATATATAAAAAAAATCCCTCACCCCTACCCGTCCTCCTCCCTTTCCTCTTCTTCAACGCCACCGCCACCAGTAGTTGGTGGTGTACACCGCCATCACTAACAGATTTGCTGACGCCTCGCGACTCCAACCCAGACCAACAATCACACAAATTAACTATAATTTGTCACAAAACAACAAGAATCTGTGATTGTCATCGTTTAACCCTTCTCCGACCAACCATGATCGTCACCGTTTACACTAGTGAGAGTGTTGTCTCATGCCGAGGAAAACCCAACGGTCTTCTCATAGAGTAGCACCAACGTTTGCCGGGGCGGAAGCTTCTAAGTTTTGGTGAAAATCTAACTGAGGTTATTTTGTAAGTATTAAAATTTTTGGGCTTTTTATAAATAAATTAATTTTTTTTAATTTTTTCTTTTTAAATATAATATTTTTATTTATAAAAAATCAAAAAATAAAAATATAATGATAGATACTTAAAAATATAACTAAGAAAACACTAGTCGCTTATTTTCAGTGAAAAATTCTCTAGGTATTAAAACTTTTTTCGAGACATAGTTTGAATATTTATTTTTGTATTAAGCCGTTTTTTTAAAAAGATATATTTAAATGATTTTTGTAACGCTTAATACAATTTTAATTGTATAAACTATACATAAAAATACGATTTGGTGCTTAAATTTTTTGTTTATTAAAAATAAGTGTGTAATGTTACAATTGTAATCATTTTAGGTGTCCAAGACCACAAATGTCCGGTTGTTCTTCTAAAATATATCTTATTTGTCCATCTTCTGCTCCAAAATAGGATATTGGCATGGTAAATGAAATTTGCATTAATAAAATATTTTTTTCCGTTTAGAAAATAATTAAACTTTAAGTAACTATATAATAAAATAATTTATGCATAGGAGAGGGACCAAAAACAAATTGGACCAAAACTATATATAATTTATTTGTAGCTCCCGCGTTTAACGCCACCACCGTCCTCAAAAGAATAGAGGAGCACCACTAATTATAGACAAAAATATATGAACTTTTTGTGGATAAATTTGCCTTTTTTGTCAATAAGTAGGTTCCCATTTTGGGTTTTAAAGGAATTGTGGGGTCATTTTTTTGGTAGACTTTTAACAATGGAAAAAGATGGTTCTTTGTTTTTAACTGTTTTACTGTATAGTGAAAAACAGTTGATAAAATTATTGTTAGGGGACGAGTTGGTCAAGAAATTTGGTCAAAGGAATTGATTAAAATTGTTAATTGTGATATATAAAAATTTGAGATATGATTATTTTAGTGATTATAAGAATATTATTTATTTAAAGGTTTTTTTAATGATCGATAACGTATATATATATATATATATATATATATTGTAAATATAGTTGATCGAATTTATAATTTTAAGAGAAAATAACACTTCCTTTAATCATTGAAATAATTGGATAAATTAATAAATATTTAAAATTTAAATTTCAATATTATAACAATGATAAATGAAGTTGACCTTATATCTTATGTTATAATAGACATCTATAAATTTATATCGATAGACCAAAGAATTGGATCTTGTGATTATAAAAATAATATATATTAAAAATGAAACCTTCTAAAAAATAAAGTGATATTTTATGAACTATTTTTTATTATCGTTGATCAATAGACCATATATTAATAAACATGTTAACAAGATAACATTTGATATTTTGTGGAACTGTTATATTAGTAAAAAAAATAAAAGTTCATAAAATAGTTCATTTTTTAACATTGATTTAAAGGAGTAACAACATTTTTTAATACTTTCTATAATCCACTAATTAATTGTCTTTGATAACAAATAACTCGTAAGGCAAAAGGCATTTACTCCACTAATTTCGCTGGTCTCTAAAAGCATGATTAAAATAGAGCGATAATTTATCGATTTGACATGCTTTGTACGAAAATCAAAATAAAAAAGTGTTGTATTAACCCAATTGGAATATTTAGTCAACACCCCCTACTCTCTAAATTCAACTTTTTCTTTAACGTATTAAGGTCATTTCTAGTCATCATCTCTACTCTATAATATATTTATTTTTATTTTAAAAATTAAATAATAATTCATTTATAATATTATTTCTATATTACCACCAACTCTACTTTATTTATAATATTTAATTATTATAATATTAATTTTATAAATATAAAATAAAACATATACATTTCTAATAAATATCAAGATAAAAAAACATAAATAAAACATTAATAAATAATAAAATATTAGTTAAAATGTTGTTCGAGTTTTATTAGTATTTTCTATGTTTGTAGTAGTTTTTATATTTCAAAAAATTAGTATATTTATTTATCTAATTTCAATGTATTTTTATCTATCTTGCTATTTAATCTACTTGAATTTATTATATTGTATTTAATTTTTATTTTTATTATGTAGAAATTACAAAAATTAAAAAAAATGTAGTGCATCTACAATACAACGCTATATATAGCGTGTCACTGTAGCTGTAGTTAAAATTATCTCCAAAGTGGAGATGGACTGGAGATCTCCAATGTGGAGATAAAGCCATTCCAGCGTAGGGATGGAGATGCCCTAAATGGTTAGTTTTATTTAATAAATAAAAATATATATAACAATTAAAGTAGATTAAACAAATAAATGGTTAGTTTTTCTGATCACTGCCCTTTGCTTCTTACTTTGGCGACTCATATGGGAGTTCCTCGGAGATGTCATTTTAAGTTTGAAGCTTCGTGGTTATTAGAAAAATTTTGTATGGAAACAGTTTGTACTTTGTGGAGTGAGGCAAATGATTCGTTGAGTCCCTATCTTTTTCTAATCTATAGTGAGGGGTTGTCGGCACATATTAGGAGGACAGTGCAACTGGAGGAGTATCGTGGTGTGAAGATTAATCGTTATGATCCATCTATTTCTCATCTTTTATTTGCAGATGACAGCCTTATCTTTAGGGAAGCCACTCCTCAGATGGCTCTTCAGGTAAAGAGCATTCTGACTGCGTATGGGGAGAGCTCAGGTCAACAATTTAACCTGGACAAATCCGATATTTTTTTCAGCTCAAATGTTATTGAAGAGATCAGACGTGATATAAAGTATATCTTGGAGGTGACAAGCAATTCTAATCCGGAGCGATATCTGGGATTACCTGTAACATCCCAAAAGTCGGGTCAATGACCAAAATAGAATTTTTGGTAATTTAGTGACCAATCTCAGAAAAGATTGAAAGTTTAGGGACTTAAATGAAAATTGTTGAGGTTGGATTTAATAACAAAGTTTGAAAGTAATAATGATATTATGTTTATTTTTCAGAGAAGATTTTTTTTCCCTTTATAAAGGGTAATAAGCACGTGGAAATGAGATAATTTCTCCAGATCATTCTTTAGTCTTCTTCTTCCTCCTCTCCACCGTGAAGTCTTGTATAAGATAAGTGGGTCTTCAGTTGGTTAATTCTTTCGTTTTAAAACTTTTTTGATTCTTGGGATGTTAAGAAAGATTAAGAAAAGCTTTAGGTGGCTTAAAACTCAAATATTATCAAGTTATGAGAAATTAAGAAAAATGAGTTTTTAAGTGAATATTTGAAATAAAAGGAGTTAATAGATTTTGAAGTTGAATTTGACTTGTCAATGGTTAAATTAATAAATATGAAGTGTTAGAATTGAAATTTGTACATATTGCAAAGTTGGTGTAATTCTTGAATTACATATGGAGGATGGAATTTTTAAGTTAAAGATGTGTTGAATGAGTATAAATGGGCTTAAGTAGGTGTATTTGAGTTTAGCATATGAAGGAGGAGGAAACATGAAGTGTTTGAGATGAAATGAGGTAATTATCGTGTTGAAAATATGATTTCTGGGCTAGAGGTATCGATACCCATTCAACAGGTACCGATACCCTCTCGAACGAAAAGAATCACAGAATGTAATGAGGGTATCGATACCCCAATTAGGTACCGATACCCTCTTGAACGAAAAACTAACAGAATACAACAAGGGTACCGATACCTCAAGGGGGTGTATCGATACCCCTAAAAGAAAAAATGAATTATAGCTCGATAAATTAGTTTAAGTTATTAGCATCAAATTATAATGTTTAGGCTTCTAATAATCGTCTTGGAAATTATATTTATGTAGATTTTGAGCCTAAACAAGTTCCAAAACATTTGGCAAGTAAGATCGATTAAGGGAA